ATGTTGAAGAAGCATGATGCTAGATGGGTGCCACATCTGATGACCGATGAGCAGAAGAGGCAACGGGTTAAGGTGGCCAAAAAGCTGCTTCAAATGTTTCCAAAATATGACAAAAAACAGTTTGCCAATGTCGTCACAGGTGATGAAACTTGGGTCCATTATTTTGAGCCCGTCAGAAAAGTTAGCCACAAAATCTGGGCCACTAAACACAACAAACGCCCAATAATTGCCAAACGGTGTTTGATTGCAAAGAAGGTTTTGTATGCAATTTTCTTCTCTGGTGAAGGAGTCGTAATAAAAGTGCCGCTGAAAAATGGCAAAAGTATCACTGGGAAGTACTACAAAGGCGTAGTACTTAAGAAACTGAAAAAGTATTATAAGAAATGATGCCCTGTCACTGGTTTTAAGCATATCCGTCTTCTACATGACAATGCCCCCGCTCATACCTCCGCTATAATTTTGGCGTTTTGGAAAAAAGAAAAAGTAACTGTTTCGCCTCACTCCCCATATTCTCCAGACCTTGCCCCATGTGATTTCTTTTTGTTTCTGAAATTGAAATCCTTCCTTGCTGGGCGAAAATACAAGTCCCGACAGGCACTTAGATCTGCCATTCATCAGTACCTTATTACTCTGCCCAAATCAGCGTACCGTGACGCCTTCAAGAAATGGATACATCGGCTGAAACTTTGCATTTCTAGCCACGGGGAGTACTTGGAGGGCATGAAATGAACACTTTTGAGCTAACTTGAAATTTGAAGATAGAAATAAGCAATACATTTCGAACATCCCTCGTATTTAAAAAAAAACTACTAAATTGTTTGAAAAATATGAAGAAAAGCAGATCATGAGAGTATTTGGCAAGCATAGTATTGTTTAGTGTTACAAGTTTAATAAATTTATAAATAAACACACAATGATATTTTTCTATTTATTAGATGACAAAAATAGCAAGAGGGCCATAATGACCCTCGATAACTCACCTGACCTGTAGAACTCATCCAAACAATTACCTAGACAAGTTTCATGACAGGTGGGTCAAAAATGTGTCCACTAGAGTGTTAACAAGGATTATCCATATTTGAGCAGTGTGACCTAGACCCAGGTGACCCATATTAGAACTTGACCTTGAAATCCTCAAAACAAACTTTCAGACCAATTTCCAGGATACTTGGATCAAAACAGTAGCCAATAGAGTTTTAACAAGATTTTTCTACTTTTAGCTCCTGTGACCTAGTTTTTCATGTACGATGACCCATGTTCGAGCTCATCCGATTAATTACCTAGACAAGCATCCTGACCTAATTTGATGATAATTGAGTCAAAAATGTGACCACTAGTGTTAACAAGGTTTTTCCATATTTGGGCAGTGTGACCTAGTTTTTCATCCGAGATGACCCATGTTCGAACTTGATCTAGAAATCATCAAAACAAACTTTTAGACCAATTTACAGGATATTTGGATCACAACAGTAGCCACTCAAGTGTTAATAAGATTTTTCTATTATTAGCACCTGTGACCTAGTTTTTCATCCGAGATGACCCATGTTCAAACTCATCCGAGCATCACCTAGACAAGCATCCTGACCAAGTTTGATGATGATGGAGGCAAAAATGTGACCACTAGAGTGTTAACAAGGTTTTTCTATTTTTAGCTGTGGTGACCTAGTTTTCATCAGAGATGACCCATGTTTGAATTCATCCGAGCCATCACCTAGACAAGCATCCTGACCAAGTTTGAAGATAATTGAGACAAAAATGTGACCGCTACAATGTTAACAAGGTTTTTTTATTTTTAGCCCCTGTGACCTAGTTTTTCATCTGAGATGACCCATGTTTGAACTCATCCAAGCTATCAACTAGATAAGCATCCTGACAAAGTTTGATGATGATTGAGGCAAAAATGTGACCGCTAGATTGTTAACGAACAAGTGTGGATGGACCACGGACAATGGACATTCAACGATTCTAAAAGCTCACCCTGAGCTAGCTCAGGTGAGCTTAAAAGGCATAAATGTGATTATGAAACTGTTATACATACATAATATTGTACAGTTTTTGTTTTTATAAAAATATATTATTATATCCATGACTTGTAGTGTAACAAGAGCTGTCAGTAGGACAGCACGCTCGACTATTCTAAGTGCTTGATAGTAAAAGAGCCTTGATAATGTTAAATTTTTTAAGTTCATAAAGGGCTATTTTTTTTTTATAAATTCATGTTCTAGGCCTTAGAGAGAGTCTAATTATACAGTATTGGCTTGACTATTCGGAAGGTAATGTCACAAGGGTATTTATTGAGTATAATAATACTAATTACCTATAAATACATAAATTTGACAGAAAAGGTACAAAGGCTTGTTATTAAGATGTTTTATCAAGTAAATCACTGCTTTATTATTATGAGCGCATAAAATTGTTCCAAAAAAGGCACAAACCCTTCAGTAGTAATTGAGATAACAGCTTACAAGCAAAACTTTACCATGAATTTTTAAGTTGAAAAAGGGGAGAAAAATCAACCTAAATGCAAGATAGAATTAAGGATCTTTGTCAGTGACCAACAATTATGACCCTAAATGCATATGTGAAGTTTTAAATAAATATCTTTAATAGTTATTGAGATAATTATGTAAAACTTGCATGTTAACATTAACCAAGATACTAAGTAGAAAAGGGGATATGAATCAGCCTTAATGCAAGATAGAGTTTTGCAAGATAGAGTTATGGAACTTGGTCAGTGACATAAAATTATGACCCTCCAATTATGACCCTAAGTGCATGTGTAAAGTTTCAAGTAAATATCTTTGAAGACCTTTAACCCTTAACCAAAATTTCTAAGTTTCAAAGGGGCAAATAATTCGCCAAATATTGCAGGCAGAGTTATGCAATTTTGCAAACTGATGAACATTGATTAGTATTTTAAATTTCAATTGAATATCTCAAGCAATAATTGAGATATACAGTCAAAGGACATAATGATTCGCCACTTTCAAAATGGCGGCCAATTACGCAATCTTAAGCAACTAAAAGGAGACGGTCATTATAGAATTAAAAGTAATCATCTTACCTCAATATTTTGTCAGATTTCCTTTCATTCTTATTACTTCTTTAATTCTATGTGGAATTGTTCTATAAAGACCTTCTACACGCTCTAGTGATATATTTTCCCATATATGTGAAATTTCGGCAATCAGCTGTTCGCGGGTATGTATGTAACTTACGTGGTGTTTCAATCGTCGTTTGATGTGTAACCAAAGATTTTCTATTATATTTAAGTCAGGAGAGTATGCTGGCCATGATGTTGTAGTTACATCATTTTCTGTTAAATAATTTTTTACTAATCCGGCTCTATGAACGGGGGCACATAGTCATTATTTCCAAAATGCCTTGCAATAACTGGCCATAAATTATTTTCTAACAAATCTAAATATTTCTGTGCATTTATATTACCCTCAACAGCAGTCAAAGTTCCAATACCCCCAAAGCATACACATCCCCAGACCATAACACTAAGCTTAGCCCTGGGAGCGGGACAAACTAAGTGAGGTTTATATTTTTCGTCATCTTTCCTCCAAATAAAAATATTGTTATTTTTCCCGATCACCACCTGACTTTCATCACTAAAGATCCACTTACTCCAGTGTTCTTCCACAGTCCAATGTTTTCTTTCATTACACCATTTTACCCGATTTTTTCGACTACCCCCGCCAACAACCATCCTCTTCTGTACAGCCCTCCTTTTATACCCCAACTCGTGAATTTTTCTTTCAATAGTTTTATCACAAAAAGTTCGATCCATACCTGTATTCATCATATCTGTAACATCTCTCAAAGTCCTTTTCCTGTTACATTTTATAATCCGAGAAAGTTTTGTTCTGTCTCGTTCCGTAAATAATTTTTTTCTACCCCTCCCACTACGATTTTCAACACTTCCATACTGTTGATATTTCTTTATCACACTTTTAATTGTTGATCTAGGAATACCCAGTAATCTTGACAATTCTGACTGATTTTTATTCTCCTTAAAACTATTTATAATCAATTCTCGTACATCCCTACTTAATTCTTTTGTTTTCGGGGCCATTTTTAAAAACGCCCACGAAATAAACTTGTAAACAATGCAGACGAATTATTGACCTGTATATTACGTCACCAAAGACTGATTGAACTTTGGCCCTGTTTACATGAATAATACTATCGGTTATTTATAGCGCGCAGCTTAAATTCTAAGGGAACATGTATATGGTGCGTAGCGCGAACGTCAGGGGTGGCGAATAATTATGTCCTTTGACTGTATGACTTTAGAAAAAAAATTAACCAAAATTTCTAAGTTCCAAGGGGGCATTATTCTGTCAATATTGTAGGCAGAGTTATCCAACTTGTCAATCTGATGAACCTTGTTACTATAAATAAGTATTGTAAGTTTCAATTGAATATCTCAAGTAATAATTGAGATATTTGACTTTTCAAAAAACTTTAACCAACGCCGACGCGGACGCCGACGCCGGGGCGACTACAATAGCTCTCATATTCTTCGAATAGTCGAGCTAAAAACGAAACACTCGAGTCTCGAATTTTCCAGAATTCTATTGAGAGACCACTTTATTAAGAGACCACTTTTTGGCAGTCCCTTGAGTGGTCTCTTAATACTATGTCGACTGTAATTATTCTTCTAAAACAATGTCCAAACATCCAAGAATATGTTTAGCATTTACATGAGTAACCTTAAAAATACATGCATTCATTTCTTATTGAAAAATTTATCTTTATCGAATATAAATTTCTTATTACATCCCTTTATTTACATGAAATGTAAAATCAGAAATATCTTTATAAATAATGCTTTTTGGAACTTACAATATTATTAAATCTTCTTTTGAGCATCATATTTATCATATAAAACCATAAAAAAAATTGAGTTAGCCGAGACCAACGCCCACCTGGCTGTGAGTACAACATCTCTCCATGTACTAGGAATAGTCAAGCAAGAAATCTTATATTACCTGTGAACCTTGGGCCAGCCAGCCGAACGCGGCCTCAAGATGTTGCATATCCCGATCAAACGCGTAGAGGTATTTGTACTTTAACATTTTATCATCTACGAGATTCCACTGCCGTCTGCAGTAATGAAAGCTCTCCTGGTTCCCGATTCTTGGAAAATCTAACCATTCAGGGTGCCCGAACTCATTTCCTGCCGACAAAAGTTTAAAATTTTGATTTTGTTCCATTTTCACTAATGATCCATTTCAGCACTACCTAGTGCTTACCTCTATAAGCAACAGTATTGTCATATAATTAAAACTAGTAAATATCTTATGGTGAATTTCCTGTTATACATTTGAAGGAAAAAAACATAAGTGCTCCTTTTTAAATTATTTAACTCCTAGGTCCAAAATGCAGGCAACCTGTTTAGAACAACTAATTGCTACACTTTCTATCATACATAGTCACTGGTAGACCTGGTTTACCCAAAAGAACACATGGATTTGTTTGTGATACTTTTTTTGAGCATGTGACCGAGCAAAAAGCAGAACAGAAAGGTGGATTTAAAAAAAAAAGATTAAAAAGACTTAATTATATAAATTAATCTGTAATTATCTGGTCATACCTATGAAATTAAGGTAACCTTCTCCGCCGAGACCCATTGTGATCAACCTTATCATTTTATGTAAAGCGATCCCTCTATCTACGACTAAACTAGGGGGAGATAACTCTGACATATGCGTGTACATCTCTTTGTCCATCAGCCAGAAAGCCAAGGTCTTGTCGCCGACTAGCGCCTGGTCGTGACTTTCAGCATAGGCGATACATTTTTCTGTGTACCGTCGGTTTGTCAGAATATGGCAGATGTTTTCAAGATCCCAGTCGTCATCCGACTTCTCCTTCAAATTCTATAAATAGAACATAGTTTGCATACACACACTCAAATTCTATAAATAGATAACATACATGTATTTTGCATACATACACAGTGTTCCAGTCGTCATCCAACTTTAAATTCTATAAATAGATAACAAAGTTTGCATACACACACAGTGTTCCAGGCGTCATACCATTCCTAATTCTATAAATAGATAACATAGTTTACATACAAACACAGTGTTCCAGTCGTCATACCATTCCTAATTCTATAAATAGATAACATAGTTTACATACACACACAGTGTTCCAGGCGTCATACCATTCCTAATTCTATAAATAGATAACATAGTTTACATACACACACAGTGTTCCAGGCGTCATACCATTCCTAATTCTATAAATAGATAACATAGTTTACATACACACACAGTGTTCCAGGCGTCATACAACTTTAAATTCTATAAATAGATAACATAGTTTTCACACACACAGTGTTTATATATAAAGTTGAATTTGTTTATTATTGGTACATTTGACTCGTATCTCTAATAAGTATGTTATTATAAATACAATCGAACCCCATTACAGGGCAAGTGGTGTTTCCTTGAGCAGGAAACTTACACTCATTGCTCAGTAGTAGAGCAGAATAATTCAAGTTTTAGAGGTCTTTTGGTAATGATAACTGATGGCTGAAGCAATTACAGATTTGAAACTTATGTGAATACTGATGGCTGAAAATAACAAAGGGCAATAAATGAAAAATAATGCAGGGTAGGTTATCATTCTTGTGTGCTACACTCCTCCTCATTGATATCTATCCTTGTATGAGTTCTAAGTTGATACCTCTAAAACTTTTGTGATAAGCTCCGGACAAAAAGTATGAAAAATAACAAAGGGCAATAACTCAAAAATTATAAAGGGTAGAGTTATTATTTTTGTACACAGCATTCCTCTTTAATAACATCTTACCACCTATGAAGTTTCATGTTGACATCTTAAAGACTTTTTGAGTTACTTTTTTCGGGAGATGTCACCCATTGACATGTATCGCCATGTTTCATTGATTTTCCAATTTTTCCGACCAATGAAAATAGGTTGAACATTTTGATATAGGCTGAGCGTGGAAGATTTTGACATTTTGGAAATTATTGCAAGTCTTTATCCTAATAAGGGCGACATCGTTTTCCCTTTTGTAAGCAAACTGGGCGAAATGGAGAGAGACAGAGCGACTATTTTGCCTAAGTCGCCTAGAATTAGAAACATGAAACAAGTTTATTTCTAATAGTTCCACTGCTAAAAAAATTACAGGACAGTAAGTCCGGAGAACTTTCTTAATTTGTTGAACCTTTAAAAACAAGCAATTATCATAGTATTGCAAGCAATCCATAAGTCCCCTACCGGTAAGAGCCCAAGCAACATTCTGAAGGGCCATTGGCCATTCACTTAGGTTCCTATTTTAAGTAAATTTGTTGAAAAAGTACTTTAAAAGTGATCACAGGAAACAGTTTTTATGTACAGACAGACAGACTGAAGGACACTCTAAAGTTATTTTTTAAACATTCCATGTTATCAAAATATAACATTTTTAAAATCCTATCATGATTGAAGAAGTTGGAGTAAAAATTACCAATTTCTCAAAAAAAAAATCTAAGTTCAAAAGGGGCATAATTCTGGAAATAGTCTTGCTAGAGTATTGAACACTCACAAATGTTGAGTGACAATAAGAAACATTTATATGAAGTTTGAAGTAGATACTATTCAGAAAAAGAAGTTATGAAAAAAACAATGTTTTTTTCATGAAAATTTTAAGTTCAAGGGAGGTAATTCTGATAAATTTTGTGCTAGAGTTGTAAAGCTTGTCACATATGATGTGGTTGATGACAAGCAACTTATATTTAAAGTTTAAAGAAAATACCTTAAGAAATAAAGAACTTATAGTGAAAAAACTTAAAAACAAGAATCAGAAATCTCGAAATTCAGTCTATTTGTTGCCATAGCAACCAGAATTTTCAACATAGGAAGATAAAAAAAGGATGTGCATAATTTCCATACTGCCATCTACCCATATGTCAAGTTTCATAAACATATTTTCAGTACTTTTCATGTTATCACTGGATCCAGGTTATGTGTAAAATTTGCCATAATTTCAGTCTATTTGTTGCCATAGCAACCAGAATTTTCAACATAGGAAGAAAAGAAAAAGACGTGCATAATCTCCATACTGCCATCTATCCATATATCAAGTTTCATAAAAATATTTTCAGTACTTTTGCGTTATCGCCGGATCCAGGTTATGTGTAAAATTTGCCATATTTTCAGTCTATTTGTTGCCATAGCAACAAGAATTTTCAACATAGGAAGAAAAGAAAAAGACGTGCATAATTTCCATACTGCCATCTATCCATATATCAAGTTTCATAAAAATATTTTCAGTACTTTTTGCGTTATCGCGGGATCCAGGTTATGTGTAAAATTTGCCATATTTTCAGTCTATTTGTTGCCATAGCAACCAGAATTTTCAACATAGGAAGAAAAGAAAAAGACGTGCATAATCTCCATACTGCCATCTATCCATATATCAAGTTTCATTAAAATATTTTCAGTACTTTTTGCGTTATCGCGGGATCCAGTTTTGTGGACGGACGGACTGACGGACGGACTGACGGACGGACGAACCAGAATTTTCAACATAGGAAGAAAAGAAAAAGACGTGCATAATCTCCATACTGCCATCTATCCATATATCAAGTTTCATTAAAATATTTTCAGTACTTTTTGCGTTATCACGGGATCCAGTTTTGTGGACGGACGGACGGACGGACGGACAGACGGACGGACTGACGGACGGATGGACGGACAGACGGACAGACGGACGGAGGGTAAACCTAAAGTCCCCTACGGTAAACCGGTAGGGGACTAAAAATTACCGGACATGATCGACGGTCCGATGATGTTTTGCTTGCACTGTGATTTGTACCAATGCCCATTTAAACATACATGATAAAACATGTATACATATAGTATACTATAGTATACTTAGTCATACAAGGGGTCCTTGGCCCAATGGTTAAGGTTGTTGACTTTCAAACCACTTGCCCCTCACCACTGTGGCTTTGAATCCCATCAGGGGCTTTGGATTCTTTCATGTGAGGAAGCTATCTAGCTAGCGTGCAAAACACAGGTTGTTCTACTAGGGTGCCTGTTTCTGCCTAAAACAATGCAACGAGAGGGACTTAATGTCTTCCTCTACCTGTAAAGCTGGAAAGTCAGAAACTGACTTTAACATTGATGTTGCCACTTAAAACCAAATCCCCAAAAAAGATATATCTGTATCATTTATTAATTAACACATTCATTCAGGTATGTGATAAAAATTGTTAATTCTAACAAAAATATGTATATACAATAGATCCAGATAAAAACAAAATGCACCTTTATCCACATGTCTGGTATAGACATGGCTAGACGATAATCAAAACCTTGACCTCCTTCGTCTACAATACGACACATTGCTGGCATACCTGATACATCCTGTCACATACATAAATTCATAGTGATTAACACCTTATTATTTACAAATAAATGATTTTCTTTCCTTTTTTATTTATATATTTATATTTTTTGTTTTATTTAACCCATTACATTTTGTGAAAAATGGTTGTTTTCATTGAAAAAGTTCAAATTGCTATAAAACTGAAAAAACTGTGTCAAGGTTAGCAAAAATGAGAACCGTTTAAACAGTGACTTAGTAACTATGTAAAATGTTTAAACAAATGTATTAAAGAATTATAAGATTTTTAAACTTAAACTCTGTTTTTATGAAAATATATAGCATTTTGCTATATACAGTCAACTATCGTTATCTCGACATCGCTTTTCTCGATATTTCGTTATCTCGATTAAAATCTGAAAGTCCCGTTTTTTCCCCTTCTTTATCTATATTGAAAATATTTCTTTATCTCGATATTTTTATTTCGATTTTTTCAGTATCTCGATTTGATATTTCAGCCCCAACAGTTATTTTCACACTATAATCCTTTGTTTATCTCGACAAATAATTATTCGTCTACCCCCTCCCGCAAGAGGTGCGGACGGTTATCGCTTAAAGGGCGTGTCGTAATAATTAATGATGATAGGTTTGTAACAATTGTAAATTAGCGTGTTGATTGACTTATGTCGAAAATGAGTGAATTTTATCGAATAATCGGTAAATTAAATAAACGTGCTAACTATTCATAAATTGTGTGCTTTTATAAATGTGCTCTTACTCTCACAAAATGATTGCTATGAAATGTTTTCATGTAATTTATATGTGTTATTATGCAATGTTAAAATACTAAATAAATTAAGTTAGAAAACAACGTTTATGTTTTAGTGGTGTATAAATGAGTAAACCTCACTATGTGTCAATCACATAGCACCTAAATGCTGTATTTCCGCTGGTAAACATCCGCTAAATTATGTAACGAACTGTTAATTTTTATTATAAGAATTGACACAAGATAATGAAACATCGTACTTATTTGACTTATAAGGTATGCCCATGTCTTCTGTAAAATTTAGTTTTTGACAGGTTCAAACCCTCATACGTTTATCTCGACATTTCGTTATCTCGATATTTTTTTGACGGTCCCGAAGACTTCGTGATAACGAGAGTCGACTGTATATTGTTATACTTGACATCAATTACAAGACATATCTGATTTTGATTAGGACTGTACTGTACATGATAAGACAGGGTGCAATTGGAAAAATATCAATTAAAATACAAACAAAATGTCATATTTTATCATAAATAAACAAACTAGTTAAATGTTTAAAAGCATGCATTTCATCTTACATCAAGAGCAGTAAAACGACACTTTCTAGTACTGGTACTAACGTTAGTAAGTCAATTTTGACAATGCAAGAAATATTACATTCTACAATAAACTCAGATTTTACCTCAGCAATGGTTATCATAAAGTCCGGGTAGAATGTATGCAACATATGATTGGACAGTGTTAGGTAAGTGAGAGATTCTGTGTCAGTGTTTAAACCAAAATACTCGTTATAATCGCCACTAAATCCATGACCTGAAAAATACAAAAAATACCTTCTCCTAAACAAGAGTGGCTTATGCCATTTATGCTTACACTTTAATGAATATATTGTCTTGTGGGAATATTTTAAAACATCTTTACAGTAACCAGTTCATAAATGTCTTATTATTTCATTTCCGGATAACTAACCAGTACCGGAGTAATAACTAATCCGAAATGATTTCTGAATTAGCGTGAGAGACAAACAACCATTAGACTCGATGTCTGCGATCAAATTTCACAGAGAAATTACGTCTTGTCCAATGACTGCCCTGGATTACCATTCTGATGCTCTCCCTTATTTGAGCTTAACAGACAAACATCCATTCCTGGCAATATTCACAGATGTGAGAAGCATGTGATATGAAGTCAATAGATCAAAACTGAAATGCATCAAGAAAAATGCTATCTTGATACAGAATTCACAGGAGTGAGCAAAGCCTGTGATATGAATTCCATGTTTCAAACTACAATGCAACAAGAAAATAACAATATTAATGACAAGTGTGAAAAGCATGCGATATGATGGCAATGGATTAAAACTATATGGCCACGAGAAAAACTAATATCGTCATACAGAACAATGATATGACAAGAAATAACCACCTACCTATTCCATGACTATGGTAGAGCATTGATGTAACCCCATCAAATCTAAACCCATCAAAATGGTACTCCTCGACCCACCATCGTAAATTAGACAGAAGAAATCTTAATACTTCCCATCTGAAACATGTCATATTTACAAATTTACATAATATGCGTAACATTAAAATTTTGCTCTGCTTGAACCGAACATGATAAACTTTTGCAGGGCACTAAACACCTTTTGGGGACAGGTACCAATTTCCTAAGGAAGGGGAATTTTGCTTCGTTTTAAGGCAAAATTTGGAATTTTATGTTATTATGTATTTAGTGTATTTTTATCACATTTACTCATTACACTATTTCCTTTCATTGGTTTCAATAGTTAGTAATTTCCCCACTATTAAAATCAATAGCTAGTATATTTTTTTAATGTAGACTAACAAATAAAATAAATTACTTTAAGTTGATTTATTTTAGAATTTGGAGGGGACTTTTTTCTTAGAACGGGGAAAAATACATATGAATTTGAGATCAGAATGGTACCCATATTCGGCCCCAAAACGACCAAATGAGTGTCCTGCTTTGTCACATTTATTGAGTATAATTGTCATCAGGAGGTGGCTGTGGCTGAAGGCCAAAATCACTGTCTCAAATTCATTTTGGGCTGCTCCCCAACTTACAAAACACTCTTAATATATATGTGATAAAACCTGAATAACGGTATCAAATTTCAAAATGGACTGTCTGAGAAAGTTTTTTATGATAAAACTTGTAGATTCAGGTCACCTTTCACATTTTTGCAAGAATTCTGTCATTAATCAAATACAAGTTTATGTCACTTGAAAACAATTAAAGTTTTGTTCAAATGTCAGGAAATAGTCCTACTTTTCTTTTTCCTTTGTAAAAATTTAAAGATTTTATAGCCTTAATACTATATTTACTTTCTATGAGCCTATTTATTTTGAAATGCTATTTAATTCTATCTATAGATAATTGAAGACCATAATTTTATTATTGTGAATAATATTTAGACAAAAATTGTTTTAGCAACTCCCTCCTACCAATTTTTTTTTTCTTATCTGTCCACCTTTTCCAGGTTTTTTGTTTTGTTTTTTTTTGCTTTTCTGCTTTTTTAAATATTTTTTCTTTAAAAAATAAATATAAAATCATATAGAAACTATATATAAAATACACCTGCCTACTCCCTTTTTTAAAGAATGAGTTCGAGACCGGGAATAGAGATAATACATAATAATTTTTGGCCTTTTCATGAAAAGATATCTTACTCTGTGTAATTAAAAAGTCTCGAGTCCCACAGATCGTGAAAGCCTCTACCACCGCCATGGAAATAACACGCATCTGTTCCATCGAATTGGTTAAGACCGTCGACTACGTTCTTTGAAGCGTGACTGTGAACTACGTCTAATAATACTGTGATGCCCATACCATGGGCCGTGTCAATCAACTCCTTCAACTCATCCGGGGTACCGTAACGACTGTTATAATTCAAAATTGCGGATAAATACAAATGAATTCATTCTCTAAAATAGTATTCATATTTTGTATAAAGTAAACTAATGTTTATAGAAAACTAAGCAATAGGATATTGTTCCCAAGATATAAATAAATTTCAGAACACTGATCTGTACACCCAAGTTTAACAGTACATGTGCCCACACTTTAAAATGTACATAAAAGCTTTAAAAAATTTAAACATTTGGTTTGGTTTGGTTGGTTTAAACGCCGGTCTAACACATTGCGTGTGCAGTGATTTTCCTGCGTATAAAACTGACATATCGAGCTAAGAGGGCGAACACAGTCACACAACTTAAACTGTACCTAACCCTTAAAACTTTTAACACTTTGTACTTGTACACAATACTGTACATAAAAAGGGGGTTGTAAACTTTTAACACTTTTTGTATTAAAAATCAAATTTATATAAAAGATAAATATATAACATAATTATTATACCTAGATGCAGCAAAGAAACTCGTAATTTGGTAACCAAAGCTAGCATAGTAGGCATGTTCCATCACAGCCATCAGCTGTATACAGTTATACCCTGTGTCAAAACAACATCAACAACAACAATTATATAATGTGTATTCAAACATCCACATATAATAAATCATGATCCATTAATATCGCCATTATTTCCCTTTAAACTCTAAGTCACCCTAACAGTGTTCAGGTAGTACTATGCCTGTCAATTCAGTATTTCAGAAAAAAGTAATTGCACTACCAAGTAGGTGAGTAACAAGAGCTGTCACAGGAGACAGCGAAGCTCGACTAATAAAATACTGGACGCAGTAAGGAGGACAAAACTATGAAAGATTAAATCAATTTTGTATAATTATGTATTAAATTATAGTAAAAAAATAACATTTGTTAACATTATTTCCAAGATCAAGGGGAATAATTCTAGAAATAGTCATGCTAGAGTTATGGACTTTGTCACACAACATTTGTGTAATGATAAGAAATATATATTTGAAGTTTGAAGTAGATACCTCTAAAAGTAAAGAAGTTATTATATTTCTTAAAGAAAATCCTAAGTTCAAAGAGAGATAAATCTGTAAATATTGCTTCAAGAGTTATGAACATTGTCACATTAAATTTAATTGATGATAAGGAATAAGTATTTGAAGTTTGAGGTAGATACCTTTAAAAATAAAAAAAATATTATATATAAAAAATAACACTTTTCTAGTAAAAAAAACTAAGATTATGGGGAGATCATTCTTGCAATATTGGTGCTAGAGTTATGAACCTTGTCACAAAAGATGTGGATGATGATAACGTAGATATATTTGAAGTATGAAGTTGATTCCTTTAGAAATTAATAAGTGACAGTAAAAAATAATATTTTTTATGGAAAATTCTAAGTTCAAAGGGAGATAAATCTGAAAATATTGGTGCTAGAGTTATGAACCTTGTCACATAAGATGGGGATGATGATAACGTAAATATATTTGAAGTATGAGGTTGATCCCTTAAGAAATTAAGAAGAAACAGTAAGAAATAGTATTTTTTGAGGAAAATTTTAAGTTCAAGGGAAGATAAATCTGAAAATATTGGTGCTAGAGTTATGAACCTTGTCACATAAGATGTGGATGATGATAACGTAAATATATTTGAAGTATGAAGTTGATCCCTTTAGAAATAAATAAGTGACAGTAAAAAATAATATTTTTTATGGAAAATTCTAAGTTCAAGGAAATAAATCTGAAAATATTGGTGCTAGAGTTATGAACTTTGTCACATAAGATGGGGATGATGATAAAGTAAATATATTTGAAGTGTGAGGTTGATCCCTTAAGAAATTAAGAAGAAACAGTAAGAAATAGTATTTTTTGAGGAAAATTCTAAGTTCAAGGGGAGATAAATCTGAAAATATTGGTGCTAGAGTTATGAACCTTGTCACATAAGATGGGGATGATGATATAGTACATATATTTGAAGTATGAGGTTGATCCCTTAAGAAATAAAGAAGTAACAGTAAAAAATAGTATTTTTTAAGGAAAATTCTAAGTTCAAGGGGAGATAAATCTGAAAATATTGGTGCTAGAGTTATGAACCTTGTCACATAAGATGTGGTTGATGATAAGGAACATATATTTGAAGTTTTAAGTTGATACCTTAAGAAATGACAAAGTTATAATGAAAAATATTTTACTGCACCAAAACTTTAATCTAAAATCTGGACGCGGACGCCGACGCCGGGGCGAGTAGGACAGCTCTCCATATACTTCGTATAGTCGAGCTAAAAACCACAGCAGTTTTCAGTGATCTAATGAATAATTTCCTCATATGAAAGAAAAAAGCTGATATTTTGAGAAGGACTTAACTTTTAAAACCTGAATCACTCCACTGCTTATAGTAAAAAATGTAAAGTTTAAATTTAAGCAGCCGACATTCTACATGCATAGAATTTTTTGGTTTATTTTACAGCCCATATTCGGTCATATTCCCAATTGGAAATAATATATCATTTTCCCAATCCACACGAAAAAAATCCCAATTGAAAATTACAAAATAAAAATATTGAATAACAAACTCTAAAATCTTTGAAAATAAGGGCTTCCTTACTTTCATTTTGCTTAAATGTTTGTAGATGCCATCCTAGACAGTGACTCTTTGCAGTCATTAAATTTAATCACTGCAAAATTTAAGTCATGCATTTTTTCCTAATTTTTAACAAAACAAAACTGAAATTCCCAATGCCATGGGTATTGGTCATGTTCCAAAAATCCTTGGAAAAACTCTGACCTGATGAAAATGGACAAAATTTCAAAATCAAAATGGTAACGGCTGACATGGTTTGAAACATGTGGCTTAAATCTGCCACTACCCTAATATAAAACTTCTTACGTAAAATCGAATAAATCTTACCTAAGTATGCTATTTTTGGTAGGACGTCTCGAGTGAACTCTGGGTATGTGGCAACCTTGCCCTGCCACGACGCTATCCCTACGTGACATTCGTATATTCTTAAACTAGTTGGCTTCTTAGGATGGGGGTTCTTAAACTGGTATCTCTGAAAATGTATCACGCTGTTTACTAAATAAAACATTTTCATTCATGTTACTAGGTAAATCACAACGATGTGTATTTCATTGGGTTTTAAGTCCAACTGACATGGTAAAGGTCATGAGGTGAATTTCCCGCTTAATTGACGGAGAAACACTTAATGACTTGTGACTTTTGGTCTATTATTTCAGGAACAAGAAGGCACCTGAATAAAACCATCAACCTTCTGTAAGCTAGCTGGATAGCTTCCTCCAATAAAAGAATCCAAAGTGACCCTTGCAGCAAGGACGGTAAGGGGACAGTGGTTTAATTTCAGCAAACTTGACGACTAAATGAAAAGATATCTGAATTTGGTGACAAAATCTCATTACAGCATAACTAAACTCATTATCAAATATATTTCAATCAAGCACAGTAATCCTAGAAAGAATAGTAAATAAATGCATTTTATAGTCTTAATTTCCATGCAACTGGTAGGTTCAAAGCTTTTACAGGGGGGAAGGGCTTAATCTAATGTTGTAAGAACTTGTTGCCCAACCCATTTGCATTTTGATATATACTCATTATTTGTATAAAATGTTTGTAAACATGTATTTAATGCAATAAAACATGTTTAAACTAACAGTGTTACATTCTTTGTAGTTAGGCTTCTAAAGTCCAACTTTCAATATACATGGAGAGTTTTTGACTCCCCATATGTCACCTCATATTACAGTGCAATTGAATTATGCCAATCTTTCAGATTCAAACTTACAATGTAGGTGCAGTGAAGCAATGTAGAGGAAAATAGCAATCTTAGACATTGTTAAGCTCATGTAGACAATTTTTTGCATTACAGGTAAATGAAGACCTTGGCACACATACACACAAAAGAAGAACTCTCTCATGCAAAGTCTGATAATCATTGACAAGTGTTTTGAAAGTCAGTGGCCATTTCAGAGTTAATCCTGGTCGAAAATTTCCTTTAGCCAAATGTGTGTGATTTTCCAAATTAATTTGAAATTTCCTCTACAAAGCATAACATGTGCAAGAATATTATTTGTAGCTAAACATAAAATTTTTTTAGTAATTGGCTAAAATGATCTGTATGGCAGAGTGAGCTTTGCATTTCAAATAAGCCACTATTTAAGCCCCTCATAATAAAACATCTTTAAAATATACTGCTGAAAAGGTACATTGTACATGTAAATGCCACAAACCTCCTTAGGATCCCAGAATATCTGGTCATAGACTGGTACTTTTTCTTCCCGTGTTACAAATTTTGCCCAGGGTGACAGTCTGTCCTCTAGTTTACCCGATTTGGTATGCATCACTAACTGAAAAAGGAAAGAAGGAAAAATAAATTAAACAATTGAATCAACTTGAATAATAATTTTGTTCATACAGCTATGACGCTTATGAGAGAAACTTAAAAAAAAAAAATACTGGTGCAATAATTTAAGAAAAGTCGCAGTTGAGTATCTTGGAATAGTTCAACAAGAGGGCCATGATGGCCCTGAAGTCGCTCACCTGTATATAGGCCCCCGGAGCGAGCCAGTTTAAACCCCAGGGCTTTTATTTGAACAAACTTGGTAGACACCCATTAGAAGATGTTTCATGCTAAACATCTAAGGTCTAGCTCATTGCGTTTTTTAAAAGAAGATTTTTTCAAGTTTTTTCTTTACACATATAGTTAAAAACAATGACACACCTGGGGCAGGGCCAGCTTTGACCCCAGGGATTTTATTTGAACAATCTTTGTAGACACTTACTAGCAAATGTTTCATGCTTTATATCTAAACTCTAACTATTTGGGTTTTTTCAAAGAAGATTTTTAAGTTTTTGCTATACACTGTATGATATAAGGAAAATCAATGTCCCCCGCGGCGGGGCAAATTTTGACCCAAGGGCTTTTATTTGAACAAACATCCGCTCAGTCTGATCAGGATCCATGCTGTTCACTTACCAACTCTTTTACAAGTAGAGAAACTGATAGTGAACAGCATGGATCCTGATCAGTCTGCGCTGATGCACAGGCTGGTCTGGGTCCATGCTGGTCGTAAATGCACTATGTTTGTTTTGTTGTGATGCGGCTCAAATTAAACATGACTGACAGGGACTTAACAAGGGACAGACAATTTGATATTTGAATGTTTTTGCAATTTATCCTCACTTCTTGAGCATTGTTGTTTTCATCATTCTTCATCCCATTATGAGACAATGTCTTACATCATTCACCCATGTTTAAAGCGAAAAACTTCAAAACCAGAAATTACCTTTATCTTAGACCCATGGGGAATTGGGCAGCTACCATCTTCTTTAGGTGGTATCTTCAACTCCCATTTACCAAAATCACCTTTTGTAAACTTGTATTGCATCTGATTCCAACCATCTAGAATAAAAAAACAACGATATAGAATCATATTATAATTTGAATGCCAATGGTGGGACACTGGGCTACACTGGATTTTACATCACACTAACATAGTATAAGTTGTTTGGTGACTTTCTAGCTTTACTGGTTGAGGAAATCCGAAAACCTCTGGTGCCCTTTCGTACATTATTTCAGGCATGAAAGGGGACCTGGATAAGCTGGATAGCTTCTCACATAAAAGAATATAAAGTCCCTATTGAGCTTTGAATAATGGATGCAACAATTTCTGTTTTATATACCCATTTATTCTATAATACCATATGTGCTTCCTTCACTTTATGGTGAATTGTGGCAGGGCCCTTGGAGAGTTACACAAGGAAAAATATAAATATAAGGAAACAGATAAATAGTCCATTTTATAGGCGGAAAGTCCGAGCGGGGCCAAAGGCCCCGCGAGGGCTGTAGCGCTCTTAGATAACATGTATGACGCGTATCAATTCAAATGAAATCAAATTAAAAGTAAATGAAAATTTCAAAAAAATGTATATCCTATACCTAATGAGCTGTAAAAAAATCCTTAGTTAACTGGGCGCCGCCATTTTGAAATCCTTTTGAGCTAAATATAGATATCAGAGCGCTTTTAATGAGCGTCTTCATAATTCAGACTATTGCTAGCAGACGCATGCTAAGTAACACTTCCGGTGAAAGAATGATGTACTAAATCAGAAAATAAACATGCATTTTGACATTGATAAGAATTATAGTAACGATTATGAATATAAAAAAAGTTACTTTAACGTATCCTTTTTGATAAAATAGCACATTAAAAATAATGTTAAAACAGCTGTGATTAGAGATTAACAAAAATGGCGGACGGGTTTTTCCAAACGCCGACGCATGCGCAGTGGTCACCCTTTACGTTCGGAAATTTTCGGAATATTCCGAGGGCTCCGATGATAGGTTGAACACCACCAATTTATTTGTTTTGTTTATGGTACAAAGTACCTGTTTGCATGTACACTAAACATGTTATGCTAAAATCATAATTCATAAGAGCTTTCCGCGCCATAGGTAGCACCTAATTTCATATTATTATGATTATAGTAATAGATTTCCTAAGTAAAAACCACTAATGTCCTGTAAGCTAGCTGCATTGTAAACGGTTTCCTCACATGGAAATATTAAAAGTATATGGCAAAAAGGGGCAAGTGTTTCCAAGTCAAGAGCATAAACCTTTCTGCAAAAGACACCCTGTTGGTTGTAATATCAAAACATTGAAACTTACTAAAGTCACCTCTAAGTGAGATTCCTTCCGCTCCAGGAGCCCATTCCTTCATGTAGATACCATTGTCCGATGTTCTGTGTATACCAAATGACTCGTACCCGCGTGTAAATTTTTCTAAACTACCTTCGTTACTATCAATTCGCGAGAGTAAATCCTTGAAACAACCATACCTGAAACAGTATAGTAAATACATTGAAGTACTGCTAATGTAGTGAACCAAAGAAAATATTTACACATTGCAAGCAGCACTTGGAACCCATGTAAATTACCAAAATAGGTAAAAACAAGAATTTGTAACAGAGTTACCAACGTCCCCCGCCTCAGGGAAGTTTTATATGAAGCATAAAATCAATGCTAGATCTGCAAATGCACCAATAAATTTATTAAAGAAATAAAATGAAACACTGAATTTAAAAATCTATCATGTTAAGCTTTGACCTCTAAGTGTGACCTTGACATTGGAGGTAGGGACACTGGTGTTACGCAAGACATATCATCTTATCATTGTGACTATTTGTGCCAAGTATTTTCAAAATCCCTTGATCTATGAAGAAGTTATGGACGGGACACAAAATATACCATATAACAGACTCTGTTATTTTGACCTCTAAGTGTCACCTTGACCTTGGAGGTAGGGGTGCAGGTGTTGTACTTGACATATCATCTTATTATTGTGACTATTTGTGCCAAGTTATTTCAAAATCCTTTGAACTATGAATCAGTTCTACATTGGACACAATATATACCCTTTAAAATACTATGTTAACTTTTGACCTCAAAATGTGACCTTGACCTTGGAGGTAGGGATGCTGGTGTTATGCATGACACATCATCTTATTATAGTGACTATTTGTGCCAAATATTTTCAGAATCCTTTGATATAAGAAAAAGTTATGGACCGGACACAAAATATACCCTATAACAGACTATGTTAATCTTTGAACTCCAAGTGTGACCTTGACCTTGGAGGTTGGTGACCGATTGTTGCGCATGACACATCATCTCATTATTGTGAACAATTGTGGCAAGTATTTACAAAATCCCTTCAAAGATAAGAAAGTTATAGACCGGACACGAGATATACCCTCAAATAGACAATGTTGACCTTGAATGAGCAAGTGCGACCTTGACCCTGGAGGTAGGGGTCTGGTTGTTGCGCATGACACATCGTCTTATTATAACAAACATTTGTGCCAAGTTATTTCAGATTCCTTCAATAAATGACAAAGTTATGGACCGGACACGAAATATACCCTGTAACAGACTATGTTAATCTTTGACCTCCAAGTGTGACCTTGACCTTGGAGGTAGGTGACCGGTTGTTTCGCATGACACATCTTCTCATTATTGTGAACAATTGTGGCAAGTATTTACAAAATCCCTTCAAAGATAAAAAAGTTATGGACCGGACACGACATATACCCTCAAATAGACAATGTTGACCTTGAATGAGCAAGTGCGACCTTGACCCTGGAGGTAGGGGTCTGGTTGTTGCGCATGACACATCGTCTTATTATAACAAACATTTGTGCCAAGTTATTTCAGATTCCTTCAATAAATGACAAAGTTATGGACCGGACACGAAATATACCCTGTAACAGACTATGTTAATCTTTGACCTCCAAGTGTGACCTTGACCTTGGAGGTAGGTGACCGGTTGTTTCGCATGACACATCTTCTCATTATTGTGAACAATTGTGGCAAGTATTTACAAAATCCCTTCAAAGATAAAAAAGTTATGGACCGGACACGACATATACCCTCAAATAGACAATGTTGACCTTGAATGAGCAAGTGCGACCTTGACCCTGGAGGTAGGGGTCTGGTTGTTGCGCATGACACATCGTCTTATTATAACAAACATTTGTGCCAAGTTATTTCAGATTCCTTCAATAAATGACAAAGTTATGGACCGGACACGAAAGTGTGATGGACGGCCGGACAGATGGACAGACGGACAGAAAGACGGACAGAAAGACGGACGGAGCCTATTTCTGAATCCCCCTTTTTTCTTCGAAAAGGCGGGGGACAATAAGCAAACAAGCCCATACTATGTTAGTAATGCAGTAGAAATTTGGCTCATCTGAAGCATGCAGCTTTAAGTTTTTTTAACCCAACTTGGCAATATCTCTGGCATATAATATGAATGGATTAGTGGATGGACAAACTGACAAATCTACTGAGATACCATTTAAATACAATATAGGGTCATTTCTCTTGTTTATTTCTTTTGTTTATATGGTTCCTCATTCATTATATGATGAAATCTATTTGTTTACAATAAGATGGTCCCCAATTTATATTAAATAGCTTTGAAGCAAATACAACAACAATTTGGGTTCATGGGCCTTTTCATTGTCCTTCATGTTGTTTTTTACCACAGTGAAATTAATCTTCTTTCAAATTCTTCAACAACGATACTTAAGCTTATTATCATAACATTAGATGTTTGCCAGGGTGGACAATCCAGCATGATGGAAGGATAGCTTCATGGTGGTTGGTTGGATGGATGGATGGTTGGGTGGATGGATGGATGGTTGGGTGGGTGGGTTTTGGATGGATGGATGGATGGTTGGTTGGTTGGATGAAGATGGATGGATGGATGGGTTGGGTTGGATGGATGGGTTGGTGGTTGGGTTTTGGATGGATGGATGGATGTTTGGATGGATGAATATGGATGGATGGTTGGTTGGTTGATTGGAGATGGATGGATGGATGGACGGATGGGTTGGATGGATGGATGGGTTGGTGGGTGTGTTTTGGATGGATGGATGGGTGGATGGATGTTTGGGTGGGTGGATGGATGGCTGTATGGACGGTTGGATGGATGGGTGGGTGTTTGAATGAATGGGCAGATGGTTGATTGGTTGGATAGATTGATAAATGGCCAATATGGGCAGGCAGTTGGTTGGTTGGTTGGATGTATGAATGGGCAGGTGGGAGGTTGGATGGATGGATTGATTGATGGGTGGGCAAGGTTGGATGGACAGATGGATGGATGAATGCATGCATGCGTGGTCAGGTGATTTGATGAATGGATGGACAGTGCATGAATAATGTATGAATAATGGCCTCATTCAAGGACACTATTTCTATGGCCTCATTCAAGGACACTATCTCTAGTACACAATGTACTGTGTTTTACAACTCAATTAAAATATATTTTCATCAGCCTTTTGCATATTCTATCATGGCAATGCAAAATGTAAGTATAAGCATAAATAACAATACTGCCTCTATAATATTTGATTAAATACATAACTTTTTATGTATAAAAAATTTCATCAGGCTCATCAGCAACATTTAATTTGTAATTAATTTGTAAAGAATACACTACTGTATAATATCTATCAAACGTTAAACAAATTACACAATTATAAAATATTGTCAATCTGGTAGAAGCAGAGGAATTTTGGTGTATGAAGAAAAAAAGAAAATTAAATGAAAATTGTTGACATTTCAAAATGACTGAAAATAAACAAAATATTCACCTTCTTCTAATTTCATTCTCGTGCGTTGTCAGGTAGCCATCTGCCTTGAACAAGCTATCGATATAAGGTACCTCAATCTTAGAACTGTCTGCCATCTTTACTGCTTAATTCCAACTGATTTTCTCGCATGCAACATACAAGTGTGAGCTGCATGTAACAAAACTTGCGGTTCTTCAACCTTGTAGGTTAAAATAAGGTCAAGGTCTTTCAAGTAAGCTAAAATTGTACAAATTTTCCAGGTTTTATTCCAATGTCATTCAATAATGAATAAAAATTATGACTTAAATAAATGTGAGGTATATATTAAATACTTTAAAATATCATGAATATTGTTTATTAAAGTGCAATTACCTAATTGCTTATTGTTTCACGCAAATGTACATGTATATTAGTAGAGTACTCTTCTCAAAGAAGGTACCAGTTAGAGGGCAAAATCTTCTGAATTTATGGCTTTATAATATCTATTTTTGGCGATATTTGTATGAAAAAAACCTTGTAAAGGCTGGTAAGATAATTTTTGTGTTATTTAAGCATCTTAAGACAATTTTGATTTTTGAAATATATGATAATTATCATCATCATGTATAAGTGTACTACCAGTCGGATATATTGTAACTTCGGCTAGTACTCGGCCCAACACCAACTCGACACCGATCAGAAATCAAAGTTTTTGAGCCATTTTGTTATCATTTTGGTGTATATTACACTGTCTCACCAATGTTCAAATTAAATAAGATTATTTTTTAGTATTTTATATGCATAATATTTTCAAATTTAATTTTTCATAAAGCTGTAAATAACATCTTAAAAAATTAGTCAAACTCTGCTCATAATGTGTTTCATATCCAACAGGCATGCTGACTGTATTAAACAGATGTTGAACTGGTCAGATATACTTTTCTTTTCAACAGAACCATTCAATGCATAAATAAGCATATTCAGATATAGTATTTTGTACCATTTATGAACACACCATACAATGATAAATATATATTATATGGTTTTGTCTTTGATTTGTTTAATTGGGTTTTACATCACACTGACACAGTATAAGTCATATGGGGATGTTCCAGCTTTACTGGTGGAGGAAGACCTTAGGTACCCTTATGTGCATTATTTCAGGCATGAACGGGCATCTGAGTAGAACCACTGACGTTCTGTAAGCTAGCTGGATAGCTTCCTCACATGAAAGAATCCAAAGGCCCTGTTAGGATTCGAGCCCAAAGTGGCGAGGGGCAAGAAGTTTGAAGTCAAAAATCTCAACCACTCAGTAAGATATCTTGCCAAAATTGGTCAGAGACTTAGCAATTTCTTCAAAGTTAGACAGAGTTAATGCCCCTGTTTTTGTGGAAATATTTGTTGATATTTATTTTTGTTCTTCATTCAGGTAAACAACATATATTGACACTGTATCTATTTTTGTGGAAATATTTGTTTATATTTATCCTTTTTGTTCATTCAGGTAAAAAGCATACATTTCCATTTATTTCTATTTTCAGACATTTTTGTCATGCAAATTTTATGGTAGTCATACTAAAGTAGGATTTCAGCAGAATGAAAGCCAGGTTTCTACATGTGATGAAGAGAACAGGGACTGTGTTTGTTAAATGTATACAGTATGGTTGTCTGTACCATTGTATAACCACATATGGAGTCTCATGTGTCACAGTAAGTACAATGTATAACCACATATAGAGTCTCATGTGTCACAGTAAGTACAATGTATAGCCACATATGGAGTCTCATGTGTCACAGTAACTACAATGTATAACCACATATGGGGTCTTATATGTCAGAGTAATTACAATGTATAGCCATATATGTAGTCATGTGTCACAGTGAGTACAATGTATAACCACATATGGGTCTCATGTGTCAGAGTAAGTACAATGTATAGCCACATATAGAGTCTCGTGTGTCACAGTAAGTACAATGTATAACCACATATGGGGTCTTATAAGTCAGAGTTAGTACAATTTATAGCCACATATGTAGTTATGTGTCACAGTGAGTGCAATGTACAACCACATATGGGTCTCATGTGTCAGAGTAAGTACAATGTATAACCACATATGTAGTCATGTGTCACAGTAAGTACAATGTATTACCACATATTGGGCCTTATATGTCAGAGTAAGTACAATGTATAACCACATATGTAGTCATGTGTCACAGTGAGTACAATGTATAAACACATATGGAGTCTCATATTGTCAGAGTAAGTACAATGTATAACATGTATAACCACATATGGAGTCTCATGTGTCACAGTAAGTATAATGTATAACAACATTTGGAGTCTCATGTGTCACAGTAAGTACAATGTATAGCCACATATGTAGTCATTTGTCACATATGGAGTCTCATGTGTCACATGAAGTACATTGTACAATGTATAACCACATTTGGAGTCTCATGTGTCACAGTAAGTACATTGTACAATGTTTAACCACATATGGAGTCTCATGTGTCACAGTAAGTATAATGTTTAGCCACATATGGAGTCTCATGTGTCACAGTGAGTACAATGTATAACCACATATGGAGTCTCATGTGTTACAGTTAGTACAATGTATAGCCACATATGGAGTCTCATGTGTCACAGTAAGTACAATGTTTAACCACATGTGGAGTCTCGTGTGTCACAGTAAGTACAATGTATAACCATGTATGGAGTCTCATGTGTTACAGTTAGTACAATGTATAGCCACATATGGAGTCTCATGTTTTACCACATATGAAGTCTGTATATTGTTGTCTGTACCATTGTTACGTATAACCACATATGACGTCTCATGTGTCACACTAATTACAATGTGTTCTGGCCAGTCCGCACTATCATGCAGTCTTACCAGCTTGTAAACTTTTAGCCACCTTATCTAATTATCTTGAGATAACCCAACCTTTGACATTCAATATTTGACAATTCCAAACTCATTTAGCCAGATAGTCCATTAAATTTCATAAATTTAGTGTTTTTCAGGGTTAATGACTTATGTATATACACAGGTGCATTTATTCATAGTAATAGGAGATAGACGGTAGACATCATGTAATAATGTTTTCAAAGGACAAAAATAATGAGGTCTCAAATAATATTAAATGGTTCTTTACAAACTGTCCATACAAACAAACAGTAACTTTTGAGCTTTTGTGATCACTTTTCGTTCGTCGTCCGTCCGTCGTCCGTAAACTTTTACTTTAAATGACATCTCCTCCACCACTAAGCCAATTTCATCCAAACTTCACAGGAATGTTCCTTTGGTGGTCACCTCAAAGAATTTAATTCCATGCAGAACTCTGGTTGCCATGGCAACCAAAAGAAAAAACTTTAAATATCTTCTTTTAAAAAACCCAAAGAGCTAGAGCTTAGATATTTGGCATGAAACATCTTCTAGTGAGTGTCTACCAAGTTTGTTCAAATAAAAGCCCTGGGGTCAAAATTGGCCCCGCCCCAGGGGGTCATTGATTTTCCCTATATGCATATAATAAAAACTTAAAAAATCTTCTTTTAAAAAACCCAAAGACCTAGAGCTAAGATATCTAGCATGAAACATCCCCTAATGGGTGTCTACCAAGTTTGTTCAAATAAAAGCCCTGGGGTCAAAATTGGCCCCGCCCCAGGGGGTCATTGATTTTCTTTATATGCATTATAGTAAAAACTTAAAAAATCTTCTTTTAAAGAACCCAAAGAGCTAGAGCTAAGATATTTAGCATGAAACATGTTCTAATGGATGTCTACCAAGTTTGTTCAAATAAGAGCCCTGGGGTCAAAATTGGCCCCGCCCCTGGGATCATTGATTTTCCTTATATGTGTATAGCAAAAACTTAAAAAATCTTCTTTGAAAAAAAAACAAATAGCTAGAGTTTAGATACTAAGCATGAAACATCTTCTAGTGAGTGTCTACCAAGTTTGTTGTAATAAAAGCCCTGGGGTCAAAATTGGCCCCGCCCCGGGGGTCATTCGTTTTCCTTTTATGTGTATAGCCAAAACTTAAAAATCTTCTTTGAAAAAACCCAAATAGCTAGAGTTTAGATATTAAGCATGAAACGTTTTCTAGTAAGTGTCTACAAAGATTGTTCAAATAAAAGCCCTTGGGTCAAAACTGGCCCTGCCCCAGGTGTGTCATTGGTTTTAACTATATGTGTAAAGAAAAAACTTGACCAGCTAGACCTTAGATGTTTAGCATGAAACATCTTCTAATGGGTGTCTACCAAGTTTGTTCAAATAAAAGCCCTGGGGTTTAAAACGGCCCTGCTCCAGGGGGGCCTATATACAGGTGAGTGACCTCAGGGCCATGATGGCCCTCTTGTTTAATTAATGCATCTCTTTGATTGGTCCATTTATAATGTGTTTTTATAATAAACCAATCAGATTGGAAGGCCATTTATTCAATGATATTATTCTTATTGTAGTGTGACGGGAAGTCGATGGAGCCCACTATTTACCATGGTGACGCATATATTGTGGAATGTATAAGTGTTCATAGACAGACACTAAAAAGGTACTTACTGGTGTTTATAGATTTAGCTTAATATATTTACTTGAATTCTTTTTGGTCTTCACTCTTGCATCCATCTTGTATCCATGCACAAAGCTCAGTTTCATTGATAAAAATAAATATCCTTGTTGTAAAAAATAAATCATTTAAAGATTGCAATCTATAAATTGTACAATATGTATTGTTAGCTCGACTTTTTTTTTTTTGAAAAAAAAAGTAGAGGTATTGTTATAGTCAGGTCGGCGTTGCCTTTGCCGTTGCCGTTGCCGTCCGAAAACTTGTACCTGGATCATAACTTTTTTATTTCTTGGTGTATTGTCTTCATACTTGGCCACAACAACCCTTGGGACAAGACCTTTCAGTAGACCACACTAACCTTGACCTTCATCCATAAATGACCTTGACCTTCAAGGTTAAAAGTCCAATTTTTGCTTGTTCATGCTGTTATTGGCTGTAACTTTGTTATTTTTAAATGGATTGTCTTCAAAACTTGAACATAATAATCTTCAAGGATATCCCTTAAAAATAACCAGTCAGACCTTGACCTTCACTCATCAATGACCTTGACTTTGAAGGTCAAAATTATTGAAATTTTCATTTTTTTGGCTATTATTGGCTGTAACTTTGTTATTTTTGAATGGATTGTCTTCAAACTTTAACATAATAATCTTCAAAGATAACTGTTAAAAATATATACCGAAAGACCTTGACCTTCACTCATTAATGACATTGTCTTTGAAGGTCAAATTATTGAAATTTTCATTGTTTGGGCGGTAACTGACTGTAAACTTTGCTATTTTGAAGGGATAAACTTCATATTATAACAGAACATTCTTAAGGACCAGATATACATATATATATATATTAATATATATATATATATATATATGCTGTGTGTATATATATATATATACATGCATATAATGATATATATGCTATGTATATATATATATATATATATGCATATATATATACACACAAATATATATATATATATATATTATATATATATAATTGCGTCATTTTTCTATTTTAGAAATTGCGTTTCATTGTTTCTATTTTTAGAAATTGCGTCATTTGTTCTATTTTAGAAATTGCGTCATTGTTGCTATTTTTAGAAATTGCGTCATTTTTTTCTATTTTTAGAAATTGCGTCATTTTTTCTATTTTTAGAAATTGCGTCATTGTTGCTATTTTTAGAAATTGCGTCGTTTTTTTCTATTTTTAGAAATTGCATCATTGTTTCTATTTTTAGAAATTGCGTCATTGTTGCTATTTTTAGAAATTGTTGCTATTTTTAGAAATTGCGTCATATTTTTTATTTTTATATTCTATTTTTAGAAATTGCGTCATTTTTTCTATTTTTAGAAATTGCGTCATTTTTTTCTATTTTTAGAAATTGCGTCATTTTTTCTATTTTTTAGAAATTGGTCATTTTTTCTATTTTTAGAAATTGCATCATTGTTGCTATTTTTAGAAATTGTTGCTATTTTTAGAAATTGCGTCATTTTTTCTATTTTTAGAAATTGCATCATTGTTGCTATTTTTAGAAATTGCGTCACTTTTTTATTTTTAGAAATTATGTCATTTTTTTGTATTTTTAGAAATTGCATCATTTTTTCTATTTTTAGAAATTGCGTCATGTTGCTATTTTAAGAAATTGCGTACTGTTGCTATTTTTAGAAATATGCTTAATGTTTCTATTCATATATATACAAAATATATAAAGAAAACTAATGTGACAAGACAGACCAACTAAATTTATAAAAAGGAAACGTTAATATATGTTCAAACCTTTCTATGTTTGCGTTTAGAAAAAGTAAAAAGTCGAGCGTTGCCCCCGCCCGGCGGTGGCTCTTGTTTAAAATGTGTAATAAAAATATATACAATGTACATGTAATATACATGTTGGAAATTCATGCAAGACATTATTTTCCACAGTTGTTTTGTTTTTATGTCATATTAGATTAGTGCACATATTTTTATTTTTATATGCCCGAAGTATCTTCGGGACATAATATTATTATGGTATAGTATTGTCTGTACCTCTGTAAGTTAGCTTAATTAGTAAAACGTAGGACTGTGAATTAAGTGACCTGAGTTTGATTCCCGGACGGTGCAGGTGGCTTTCCTTGTGATTGATCATGAAATCATTTCTACAGTCATTCACACTGTACAGTGTACCTCTGCCTGGACATGTACAGAAGTGATATCAGTTCCTTACCAAAGTGGAGGCACTAGTTATCGTCAACTGCTCGACAGCCTGCCCAGAAACTATGCAGAGTTTGAATTGTGCTCTGGTGAATACAAAGTGGCTAACTGCTGTGGGTTAACAGTCAATGCCAAAGTCAAAAATTTTTTCCAGCCACAAGGACTGGGATCCTTAGATTTATTTCCAGCCCTGATAATTTTTTCCCGGCCCGGACTCTGAAAGGTATTTTTTTGTAGTGGTGGGGGAGGGATATTGCCATAATTATAAACAAAAATATTTAGCAAATATGAATTATCAGACTCAACTATAAGATTCTATGAAAAAAAATATACAGAAACATAATAAATAAAACATTAGCATAATTCACAAGAAAACAATACATCTTTCAAAGGTTTAATTTTGAGGATTGGAGAAAAAATATGTTTTGGTAAGGAAACTATCCAAGACAAGATGATAGCTTACATTACTTAGCAAAAACAGGTTGTATCTTGCTGTGATTTTGGTTATCTGGGTCTGTGAATACAAGCAAAATGAAAAAAAAGATTGATCTTTTGCATATTTTAGAAGGCCAAAAATTGTTTCAAACTGGCTGAAATTTTATTCGGACATGAGGACTAACTGTATCGAAATTTATCTCTGCCCTCCTGATTTTTTAGTTGGCGAGGTCCGAGGACCGACATACTTTGGCACAGACTGGGTTAAGAGGGCTGAGTAAAAATCCCACCATCAGAGGGCTAGAGCTTTTTGTTTATTTGCTAGTAATACAATGGTTGCAAGTTTGGATGCCATCCAGGGCAGGATTTTTTGTGGTATTGATTTCCATATTTGTGTAACAAATTCGAAATGTTTGCAAGGTATACATAGCATACCTGTATTATATAATTTTTATTTTCAGAGGAGACGTAATTGGTGTTAAATCATTGGATGATCCAAATAAGTTCATTTGTAAAAGAATAGTTGCTATGGCAGGGGATAAAGTATATAATGAAGTATCCAATGAACGTATTTGGGTAGGTATAACATATAATATAGTATATAATATGTCCAATTCTGAATCAATGGATTAATCATGCATTATGGGCATAATGTTTAATCGTTGTTGTAATATATAGAGAATTTTTATTTGTTAATATATCTCACAGAGTTGAACACCAGATGCAATATTTTTTGCTGTGTAACATCACTCTTGAAAATTATTACATCATAAAGAGAATATTATCAGAGAATATTTTTTTGTTTTTCATGTAAGATGGAAATGCAAGTAGAAATATTCTCGCATTCTTTATAATAAAATATGCAGGTTTTTTTTGTCATTTTGATACATTAATATTATACATTGTTATTTTCCATAATTCTTGTTTTATATATAATTATGTAGGTACCTAAAGGTCATGTTTGGTTAGAAGGAGATAACAAAATCTGCTCACATGATTCCAGACATTATGGCCCTGTACCATATGGATTGATATTTTGTAAACTAATATTCAGGGTAAGTGAATTACTCAATAATACTTTTCATCTGTTCTTCACTATTTAATTTGTTCCATGTTTTTAACCAGGTTTTCAGAAACAGAAAATTCTGATTATTAGATTTGATACTGTCATGGGCTGGTCATAAACTATTATTTCTGTGTACAAATTCTCATGGGTTGGTCATGAACACTTTCTTCTGTGCACAGCTTCTCAAGGGATGGTCATGAAAACTTTCCTTTGTACACATCTTCTCTTAATTAGTCCCCTACCGGTTTAACCGGAGGGGACTTTATTAGTCCCCTACCGGTTTAACCGGAGGGGACTTTAGGTTTACAGTCCGTCTGTCCGTCTGTCTGTCCGTCCGTCCGTCTGTCTGTCAGTCCGTCAGTCCACAAAACTGGATCCCGCGATAACGCAAAAAGTACTGAAAATATTTTTATGAAACTTGGTATATGGATAGATGGCAGTATGGAGATTATGCACGTCTTTTTTTTTTCTTCCTATGTTGAAAATTCTGGTTGCTATGGCAACAAATAGTCTGAAAATATGGTAAATTTTAACACATAAACTGGATCCAGTGATAACTCAAAAAGTACTGAAAATATTTTTATGAAACTTGAAATATGGGTGGATGGCAGTCTGGAGATTATGCACATCTTTTTCTTTTCTTCCTATGTTGAAAATTCTGGTTGCTATGGCAACAAATAGCCTGAATTTCAAAAATTTTCAGCTTTTTCTCTATAAGTTCTTTATTTCTTAAGGTGTTTACTTCAAACTTTAAATATAAGTTTCTAGTCATCAACCACATCATATGTGACAAGGTTTATAATTCTAGCACAAAAATTATCAGTATTACCTCCCTTGAACTTAGAATTTTGATGGAAAAAAAATGTTGTCTTTTTTAAATTACTTCTTTATTTCCTAATGTATCTACTTCAAACTTCATATATATGTTGTATAAACATAATTTCCTTACTAGGCAGGGAAACTTAACACATTACTGTGATATAGACAAACTTAGAACTCAAAAGATTTAAGTTCATTTATGTCATTCATTCACTGGTAAAATTGACTGGCCAATGGCCCATCAGAAAGTTGCTGGGGTCCAAACCGGTAGGGGACTTATATGATAATTGCTTGTTTTTCAAGCCATTTCCACTAAACCATCACAGAGCTATGGTTATTAAGAGCTTCAGGGCATATTAATGAGAATTTGCGATTTTGATCATTATCCTTAGTTAACGTGGTAAAGTGACAAATATTTGACACTTTGTTGAATTCTACACTTGGAGTGATGGGTTATTCCTGGCTTTCTTTGAATTCTGCTGAAACTGAACTCTGGCAGTCTTCCTTCACAAAACAATTAATAAAATCACTAAATGCCCTTAAATGTCCAAGATCCATATCTCTAGCATAGATCTTGACAGAAACGCACCTGTTTTTGCTCTAAGAAAATTCCTGATTGAAGTTTTGCATGCAAGAATCTCAACAACCACTCTAGGTAGTAACTTTAAATCCACAAAGTTAATATTTTTCAGGCCCTATACAAAACCCATAACTACATAATCATGTAGTTATTATGAATTTTTATAGAACTTTGTCCCTTTTTGAATAAAGTTTGGTCAATGTTTTATCTCTATGAACACTGAAGGTATTTTCTTTGCAGCTTGTCTTATTTGGTTACTGAAATTAGACCCATTAATC